TCGTGCTCAGTTTGGGGGGGGGGTCCTCCTGTCCCCTCCCCCACCGTCGGAGCTCATCGCCCATCTGCTTCTTTGAGACGAACCGAAGGACGATTGCGCCCATGCGATGTCTGTCTCTGAAAGGGTCGCTCTCTGCTCCCCAGCTCCGGAGGAGGGGACCTGTCTGAGGACACGACCCCTCCCCCAGTCAGCGAGCTCGCCTGCTCCACCCAGTCAGCCCCCGCTGGAGTTCTGAGCTGGTGGAGGCGCTGAAGGGAGGGTAGGGCGGGGGTCGGTGATGGGGGAAGCCTGGCGCTGTGGGAGTTGGAAGAGGAGAACCAGCTCTCCCTGTCCCCTCCCACCTGGGGGCGCACCTTGCCTGGGAGTGGTAACAAGAAGGTGCTGAGGCCAACGGAGAGGCCTGGGGCTTGAGGAAGAGGGGTGGTGGGGTCTGCAGACCTGAGGCTCCGGTCCTCTGCAAGTCTGAGCACGTGGATCCTGATTCCCAACTCCTGTCCTTTGGAGTAGGGCGTGGGCATGGGATGGAGGGAATGACACTGGGCCCAGAGGTGGTTGCTGTCCAGGGACTGGGGTCCAAGCTGAGGGATCTGCAAGGGACTGTGAGGGCCTTGGCTCCAGGGTGGGAGTCCAGGGCCCTGGCCCAGCCTCTTGGCCTGGCCTATTTTTAGCTCCAAGCAGCCTGGCAGAGGCAGCAGTGTGTGAGAGTGTGTGAGCAGTGTGTGTCTCAGTGAGAGTGAGCGTGTGTGGAGAGGGTTACTACCTACTGCCTGTTCGCCAAACATTTGCATATTTGCCCATTGCTCCATCTCTTTTTGTACTCTCTGTCTATTCTCCTAGACCTTCCCATTCCTACCCAGCACCCAGTTCCCACAAGTTCAGGGCTGGGTCCGACACTCACACACACGCACACACACACACCAGCCCCCAGGCTGTGGCTGGACTTCCACAACTGGATAACCTGGTGACCTCTTGGGACAGGCAGGAGATTTTGTTGTTGCTCCAGCTGTTTAGCAGAATAAGGTCTGGATGTGAAGGGAAAGGGCAGGTGCTCTCTCAGTAACTTTAGCTTCCCAAGGCAGAGGTCGAGGAAGATGCCTGTGTGTCCCTCCCCTCCCTGGCCTGGGGTGAGTGCCATCTCTGGACCTCTAAGGTATGACTACAGGAAGGATTGTGGTGGCCCCTCATAGAGCTCCTATCATAGGGAGTGTTCCTGGGGTTCAGGGGAAGGGCTCCTATGCCCAGAGATAGGGGACAAGCTAAGATAACTTCTGACTCCAGAAAAAGGGCCCAAGTGTGTGGGCTGTGGGGGCTGGGGGCTCCAAGGAGAACTGCCACCCACCGGTAGGGCCTGATACCTGCTTCTGTTTTGTGTTTTAGGAGGCAGATGTAGTAGGTGTGTGTTGGGTGTTGGGAGGAGGAGGGTGTAGGCCAGCTGCTTTGGGGACCTGGGTGGGGAGCATAAGGAGCCAGGAGCAAAAAAAGCTGGGACTTAGGCCTGCTTTTCTCCAATCTTCTGGAATCTGTGTCTTATCTGCCTGAAAGTCTACCTGCAATCTAACCTCAGCCCTTCCTGCTGTGTAACCAAGTATGTAGGCAAGAAGCTCCAGACTTGGCAGGAGCTCCTAACCCAGAACCACAGGGGAGGGTGAAAGGACTTGAAGCTTCCCTGCACAGAGTGACAGCGGGTAGAGGGCTGCCCACAATCACCAGATCGTTGGCATGGCTGGTTTAGAAATGAATCAGAAGTGAAGGTACCATGTGTCCTTGAGAACTAGAATTTGGGATAGATGCAAAAAAGGAAGAGACTCTACTACCAGTTCAGGTGCCTCAGCAAGTCTGACTTTCCTCCCTCCTACTGTAGGATATTATAGTTCTCAGGGGCTCTGAAGGCTTCAAATCTTGTCAAAGGCAAGGAACTGGGTGAGTAAGAGACCTGTGCAAGATAATAGAGCCCTGCTGCCCTCTCAGAGTTCATTTTTGTCATATTTGGAGTTTCCTAGGGATCCCAGTTCAGATGTTATTCCAGCCCCTAATCCCCACTCCACCTAACCCTCTCTTCCACTGTTGTAGGGCCAGTACTCCCCAACATGGCAGGAGAGAGATTGAGGAGGAGTCCTCTCCTCCTAAAGAGATGCCCCCCACACATGCATGAAGCATGAGTGCCACACTGCCTGCCCTCCACTCATGTGCACCAGGAATAAATAGCCAGACAACTCACACTTAACATCTGAGCAGTGCGTGCATGTGTACACACATACAGGCTGGGCACTGCTGGGAACCCTGAAGTGTCACTCAAAACAGATGTCATTGGATTCTCCTGGAACAATGCCCTACCCTCAAATACCCTGTTCTGGTTTTGCCATGCTATTTTTTCTTTGGGGAGAGCATCTCTGTCTAGCTTAAATAGCCCCTCTTATTATAGTTGGTATCCACTTTCTAGGCACAGAGAAGGGCAGTGTCTCTCCATTTCCCAACCTCCATTGCCAGCACTGATGATACTAAACCATGGATATGCAAAGACAAAGATGTGATCTTTAGCATCCCCACCCTACTCTTCTCAGCCCTGCATAATTTTAACCCCATTCCTGCCCTGGAGGGAGCTGCAGGAGTTCCAATCCCTAACTGTTCCATGCTATTCTACCCCAAGCTTTCCCAAGAAGGGAAAGAACCACACATCCCAGAAGTCCTTGGACTGACTTCAACAACAGTCAACTTTATCAGCAGTACAAAAAAAGAACAAGGGTGGGGGGAATGTCAAAGCCCCCGCAGTGCCTCAGCTACACGTGTTAATCTCTTAGAAAGGGACCAGGAGCCCAGGATAAAAATTTTTCAGCTAACCTTTAGGCCCTGGCCAGTGTCCTACATAAGGCTCTTCCTTGTATTATATTTGTCATGACAAGGATTTCCCAGACAAATTAGAAAGCCAGTGTGTTCAAAGTTCAGGAGGACTTTAGAAAGCAGTAGGCAAATTCAGACATTCCTTCCCTGAGCTGTCCCACCCTGGCCTGGGTGGGCTGGAGAGATGTTCTCTGCAGATGCTGACCCACAAAGTGTTAATGTCTCTGAGGGGGTGGCCTGGGAGGCCAGGGGAAAGCCCTGTGCCCTCTCAGGATATTTCTGACTATTGATCCAGGGTGGACGGAAGGACAACAGGCCAGAAATCAATGCATTAGAGCAGATAAAGCTGCTGAGATGAAGAGCTGGGGCGGGAACAGGGGTGGGGTAGGAAGAGCAGGGGGACCTGCAGGGAGAGGAGGTGGTCTTTTGAGTTGGCAGGAGTAGCACTCCTCAAAGGAACAGATGAGCCCAAGGATGCCCACCTTAGGATAGCAGGTCCAGTGTAATATGGTATTTTTTGAGGTGTGTTAAGTGGGGGGTGGAGATGTAGCTCAGTGGCACTGCGCCTGCCTGGCAAGTGCAAGGTCCTGAGTTCGATTCCCAGAACTGAAAAAAAAAAAAGTCTCCACGTTAAGGCTACAGCTAAGTAGACTGGCTGCCTTGTGTAACCAAGGAGCATTGGGTGGACTTTGACAGCTATTTCCCCGTGTTTTTCACTTCCCCTGCCTCTCCTACCCCAACCCAGATTCGGAGACGCCGCCCCACACCTGCCACCCTCGTGCTGACCAGTGACCAGTCATCTCCAGGTAACCAGAGGATGGGTCATGTAGTTGCTGTGGGAGAATCTGGGAGCTGCTGCAGACAGCAGGGTCCCAGCAAGAGCAGATGGGTGTGAAATAGAAGACAAGAAGTAGATCTTAGGAGTTAGGAATCTCCTCCACCTCAAAAACAGGGAAGTGCTAGCTACCTGAATTAGGAGAATTTCTTTTGCTTTTGGAAAAAGGTAACAGTGCTAAGAAGAGGAGGGGGACCAGGTTCCTCACCCCGCCACCCAGGAATTGGGACGGTCAACTGAGTGCAGGTTGCTGCGGCAACAACCTTCCAGGTTTCTCCAGCAACTGAGATGCTGCTGCCCCCTCCCCCAGAGGCAGCGACAGCTGTGAGGGGGAAGGACCGCCTCCATCAGCTATCTGCACGGCCCCCAAGGGAAAGGGAAGGTTAGAAACAGCTCAGGGAGCAGCTGGGATTCTGGTCACCAGTGTCCCAGTCAGGGTCTGGGAAACGAACAAGGTCTTCGAGAATATCAAGGGAGCTTGACAGGGACATAGAGAAAAAGTGGTCAGGTTAACGAGCTAGATTGGAATTCAGGATGGGTCTCCAGCTTCCCTGCAACTGCAGCAAATGACTGTACCTGCCTGGACCCTGGCACAGTTCTCCATCAGTGGCCTCTCCTGTGCAGGGCTCAGGCCTTGGGATGGGGGAATGGGGAGGAAGAGAAAGAGAAGTGGATACTTCAGAGGAAGAAAGAAAGCAGAAAGACTCCAGATTCTGCCTTCAGCAACTTCAAGGAAAGGGCGAGGATGTAAATGAAGATCGGCAGGAGTCCAGGACAAAGGCAGAGGATGAAAGGCCAGCCCACAGAGCAGAGGGGAGCAGGAGGGCGTGGGCCTGGGGCAGCCAGGCGGCCAACTTTCCAGAGAGATCAGGAGACAGGCAGTTACACCTTAGGAGGTCAGCTCTTTGGGACCCTGGATTTCCTGGCCTTATCGCCTTCTCCTTTCCTGCTCCCCTCAGAAGTGGATGAAGACCGGATCCCCAACCCACTTCTCAAGGTAAGCTGTCCCCCAGCTCAGCTCAGCCTGGGGAACCCACGGGGTCCTTGGGGATTTTCCTCAAAACCTTGCCCACCAGAGTCTGAAGGTGTAACTTGGTGGTAGCGTGCCTGCGTACCCTGCACAAGGCCTGGATTTGATCTCCAGTGCCACAGCAAATAAAACAGCCTACACCCAACCTGTAGGACTTTTTGACTCCCTTCCCTGCACAGCCCCCCACACAAGGTACATGAGTGGGGCCTAGACACATGCTTACATACACACACACACACCACAAAGTCTCCTTGCCACCACAGTGGAAGTGTCTAGAAAGCAGGAATTTTCTTCCCGCTTCTTTCTGAAGCCAATCCAAAAGTGTGTGGCAAGGCAGAGGAGTTGGCAGGAATGGCTGACACCATCTGTCCTCTGTGTCCTCCACAGTCTACTCTGGCAATGTCTCCACACCAACGGAAGAAGATGACACGGGCCACACCCACAATGAAAGGTTGGTCCCCATCCCTTTTTCCTCTGTAGACCTGATGCCCATTTGGAAAGGCCATTTGGGTGGTCCCTGAAACCCCCTCTTAGAGGGCAGCTGGTGCTATGTGACAGGGCTAGAACCCCAGCTCTGCCACCAGCCAGCAAGAGGCTCTGCAGAAACTGCCTACCCCACCCAGCCTTGAACACCATCTAGTCACATCAGATAAATAATATGTGTGAACTCATCGGCATACAGCACGGCCACAGAAAGTGCTCAAATATTTTCTGAATCTAAACGGAATTTTTTTTCCTGTCCCCAGGGGAGACCACGTATCCCAGCAAGTCAGGAATATCTTGTATTCTTCAGAGTTCTTACCCTATGCCTCCCTTACTTTTGAAAGAACTACCTTGTACAGTCTAGCTTTTGAACCTCTGTTATCCGGCTGATGTCCCCTCCTTGTCCGTATCTCAGTGGATGGGAAAGTTACACACCTAGTAGTGTGTGCAGTTGTTGGATGGAGAGATTCTGGGCAGTCACGTCCAGTGTTCCCTCCCTTTCTCTGTGCCCCCAGAGCTCCAGACGATGGTTGAACATCACCTGGGGCAACAGAAGCAAGGAGAGGAGCCTGAAGGAGCTGCCGAGAGCACAGGGACCCAGGAGTCCTGCCCACCTGGGATCTCAGACACAGGAGCAGAGTCCAGGCTGGGCACCCCTGGGACAGCACAGCGTACGTACAGGCTGGAGAGGGCCCCAGGCACTCTGTTCCCAAGCCCAGTATGAGGCAAGACACCCACTGGGGGAGGGGGTAGAGTTGGGCCTAGGAGGGGTCTTAAAATAGCCAAAAGCCAGCTCAGGGATATGGACATACCTGCACATATCTGAACCCTCACCTCTTCCTACTGTAGGACACTGAGCCCTCCCAGCCGGGACCCCCGAGATCCCTATGGCAGCTCTATGGGAGAAGCTACCATCCTGGGAAAAGCACTCACAAGCTAGGGTCCCGACTGTGCCACTTGCCACTTAGCCAGCTAAGAGGCCTTGAACAACTTAACTCGGGTGTGTGTGTGCAGAGAGAGAGAGAGAG